TTTATGTGTGTGTGTGTGTGTGTGTGTGTGTGTGGCCAGCTCAACCCACCAGGGGGCAGGGCTGGCTGGCATGTGGTGCTGGGGGATTGAACCGTGGTCTCTGTGTTTTGGTAAGCTTGTACTAAGTAGGTGCTTTAGACCACTGAGCCATCTCACCAGCCCCTGTATTTTTATATTATTTGAGATATGACTTAAGGTTAAATCCCTAGAAGTGAGGTCATTGGTCAAAAGGTAGACTTTGCATGTGTAACTTCATTATCTATTGCCTAATTCCTTTCGTTAGGTTTATATCACAATGGTTTCTACATACAGCCTACAGATGGAGCTGTTTCTTCACATCCTTCCCAGAAGAATGTGTTGTGCTTTTGCTTTTGTTAAGCTGATAGGTAATAATAGGTGATGTATTATTCTCTGGATTTTCATGGATTTTTTTTTGTTGTTGTTGTTGATGGATTTTTAAATTTATGATATTTTTTAGCCATGAAAAGGATTTTAAACACATTTTTATTTTATTTGTTTATTTTTTGGTGGAACCGGGGATTGAATTCAGACTCATGTGCTTGCCAGGGAAGTGCTTATTCCAGTGAGCCATCTCCCCGGCCCCTAAACACATTTTTAGATTAAAATTTTGTTTTGAAAATTTTCATTTTTGTATGTTCAAATTGATCATTTCTTTATAATTGAGGATTTTAAGTCATAGTTTAAAAACCTTAGACTTATTTTTGATATAGTGTAAAATAGGCCTTGATTTAATTTTTCACTTTGTAAATATACAGTTGGCTTAGTATCATTTACTGGAAAACTCTTGTATTCTATGTAGCTTCTTTAGCCTTAAATCAAATGTTTCTATATGGACCATCTGTTGTTTGGGTCTGAACCTTGGGTCTCTGTGCTCAGCTATATCTCTAGCTCTTTTTATTTTTTATTTTGAGACAAAGTCTTGCTAAGTCATTAATTTACCCTGGTTAGGTTGTTATTCTCCTGTCTCAGTCTCTGAGACTGCTGGGATTATAAGTGTGCATCAGCATTCTTGGCTGTTTGTAGACTTTTCCTTTTGAGAGGGTCCAATGTAGTACTTCACAAGTGCAAAGCAAGAACCCTACCATGGAGCTGCCCTTCTACCCATGGATTATTACTCAGTTTTACTGGTGTATTCTTTTTTTGCTTTGTCCTTTTTTTTTTTCTTTTTTCTTTTCATATGTATTTGGTACAGGGTGTACAGGGTCTCACTATGTAGATTGGACATAGTGATTCTCCTGTTTTCAGCCTCTCAAGCACTGGGATTATAGGCAAGCGCCACCACAACCAGTCTCAATCGCGGGGCACCGAACCCCAGCCGCTGCGCTCTGCCTAAGCAGGTGCTTTACTCCACTGAGCTATCTGGTTTGTTTTGTCCTTTTGAGACAAAGTCTCGCTATGCAGTTCAGGCTGGCCTTGAGCTCACTTTGTAGCCCAGGCTTATCTCGAACTTGCAACAATCCTCCTGGCTTAGTATCCCAAGTGCTGGGATTACAGGCATACACCACCATGCCCAGCCAATTACTGGTTTATTTTATTTCTTTATTTTTCGGAACTGGGGATTGAACTCAGGCCCTTGCACTTGCCAGGGAAGTGCTTATTCCACTGAGCCATTTTCCCGGCCCCCGACTGGTTTATTCTTGTGCCGGTACTGTGTAATGTGAATTATTGTAAGTGCAGAGTTTGTGTCTTAGTGTCCAGATAGATGTTTACTTTTGCCATCACAGAAAAGCAAAGTATAACCAGAGAAGTGTGATGATTATTTTATTTGACTATATCTACAGAATGGTTATGAGGAGTACTTATTGTAAAATTAAGATTATTGCCAGGGAGATGGCTCAGTGGAATAAGTGCTTCCCTGTCAAGCACAAGGGCCTGAGTTCAATCCCTGGTTCCACCAAAAAAAAAAAAAAACAACCAAAAGATTATTTCACTTATGGTAGGAGGAAATTTAGGTCAACGATAAACTCAGCCTTTATTGATAGTATAAAAAATATTTGAAATTAGAAGAATATATTGAGTTTATATACTGTTGAGTTTGAGTTTATATATTGACAGCAAAAAGGACTTTTGATTTGATTTTTCTTTCAACATCATAGTGATAGCCAACCTTTATTAGCAGAATTAAGTCTTAAGGAATATAATCAGTTGGGAGTGATGGCACATAACCTGTCAGCATTATATGAAGTCACTGATATTTACAGCTGGAAGAAACTTTAGAAATTAGTTACATATGAACCATTTTAATTTGCAGAAATGAAGTAATTACAGTTATCTAAGAGCTCCCTAATATGGCCTCCTATAGAAAACAGCATAAATCAAGAGGCTCACTAGTGTCTTCACCTTAAGAAGATAAAACTTTTTGGTTTTTTATTACAAAGTAATTTTTCTTTCTTCTACAACATTTTTAAAAAATGAGTTTATTGGTACATTTTACATAATAATCATATTCATCATAGGAAATTGTACCTATAGATGATATATCTTAATTCTAGGAACTAAGATATATCATCTATAGGTACAATTATACGTACACTTGATTTTAGCCAAAAGGGCGAGAAGCGATCTCTTAATTCTTTTTTATTCCCATTTCCCTACACTCCTTTCAACCCCTCTTCCTCTCTTTATTTACAAAAGCTTTGTTTCCATTTTTTCCCCTTCTTTTCTCTTTTTTCTTCTCCCTCCCTCCCTCCCTCCAGGTTCCCCTTCCCATTTGAATGTTTTCTACCTGTTTCACAATATCTATTATACATCTTGTTTTTTATTTATACTTTTGGTTTTTCACACCAGAAAAAGTGTGGTATTTACCATGTGAGTGTCTAATTCATTTTACTTAAGAGTATGATCTCAAGGTGTATCCATTTAGCTAGAAATGTCTCAGCGTTCTCCATCTTTATGACAGAATACTCCATTATATTAAAAATCATTTTCCATTTGTCAGTTCATAGACATTTGGACTATTTCCAAGATTTAGTTACTATAAATTGTGCCACTGTAAACATGGGATTACAGGCATGTGGCCACCACAACCAGTCTCAATCACGGGGCACCGAACCCCGGCTGCTACGCTCTGCCTAAGCAGGTGATTTAGTCCGCTGAGTATGCATATATTACTACAGTATGATGCTTTTATTTCTTTCAGATACCAAGAAAGGGAATAGCTGGGTCAAATGAAACCTTGAATGCTAGTTTTTTGAGAAATCTCTACACTGATTTCAGTAATGATTGCGCCAGTCTATACTCTCATCAGCAGTGGAGAAGGGTTCCTTCCCCCCTCTACCCTCTCCAGCACTTGTTACTGATTTTTTGGTAATAGCCATTCTTTCTGGAATGACATGGAATTTCAATGTTGTTTTAATTTACCTGTCTTAAGTGACCAGTGATGTTGAACATTTCCCCATATATTTATTTGCTGTTTTTACTTCTTCATCTGAAAAGTGTTTGTTCCTTTCACATGCTGAATTTTGGATTGGGTCTTTAAATTGAGGGGAAAAAATGAGAAAAGAAACCCAATGAAACTTCTCTCTAGAAATTCCAAGGTGGGGGGGTGGGGGGGTGGGGAGATAGCTCAGTGGAATAAGCGCTTCCCTGGCAAGCGCAAGGGCCTGAGTTGACTCCCTAGTTCTGCCAAAAACAAAACAAAACAAAAAACAAATTCCAAGGTGGTCCTTTCTATGCCAGTGTAGAACTGTCTGAGCTAGCCCATGTGGCTTCACATGAGATACCCCCTGCCATGAGCCACACTCTAAATGAAAGAGTAATAAAAATAGTGTCTTTATTTTTCCCAGCTGTCACTAAATCTGGGACAGGTAGCCACATAACAGACATCCATTGAATCTTCATAAAATGATGTGTATAATTTTAATATCTTAAAAAGAAGCCTGTGATTGTTTATATAGATTCTCTTTCTATAGTGCAGTATGGTGTACTGATTACTAAATTTCAGAAAGTCTTGGTAGAGCTCTTGAACTAAAAGTCAAGAGCTTTGTTTAGTTTTAAAATACTTAATTGTACTCTATCCAGTCATTCTTCAAATATTTTCTATTACTTCTAGACCAAGAGCAGTGATGATCTTTTAGCTGGAATGGCTGGCGGGGTAACAGTGACTAATGGTGTTAAAGGAAAGAAAAGTATCTGCCCATCTGCAGCGTCTTCAGCATCAGCCCCTGCCATGACCACTGTGGAGAACAAAACCAAGATCAACACAGGTATGGGTGACATTCCTTCTGAGATGTCAGTTACCTTTTGTTTAAGTAGATACAGTGCATTGTTATTTGAGGTATTTCATTGAAATATAATTTTTAAAAAAGATAAATACAAGCATATGCAAAAGTGCATTTGTTTTCATTACTCTTACTAACTCATAACTCCAGGATATAGATGCTGGAGATTAAACCCAGACCTTTGCATATGTTATGCAAATGTTCTGCTGAACTGTACTTCAAAGCCCTGTATTATTTTGATGCTAATTCCAGATCATCAGATCATAGGGTTTATCTATAAATATTTCTTTTCTTTTTTTTGCGGAACCGGGTATTGAACTCAGATCCTTGCATTTGCCAGTCAAGCGCTTATCCTACTGAGCCATCTCCCTGGCCCCTATTTCTTTATCTTTAAAAAACATAATCTTAATACTATTATCATGCCTGCCGGCCCCGCCCCTGGGGTGTGCTGAGATGGCAATTGAGACTGGGTGTGGTGGTACACGCCTGTAATCCCAGCACTTGGGAGGTTGTAAACAGGAGGATCACTACAAGTCCAGTCTATGCAGTGAGACCCTGTAGAACCTGTAGACCCTGTCCTAAAATTAAAAAAAAAAACAAAAAACTATTATCAGTCCTTAAAAGAGTAATTTTTAAACTGTAAAGTATTATCTATTTCTACCTATCTTATAAAATTTTTTAAACTATTTTATTTGAATCATAATTTACATAAAATTTATGTGTAATAATTGGTTGGTATGCCTCAAGTGGTTTTTGTTGTTGTTATTGTTTCTTTGTTTTGTTTTTCCTGGTACCAGGAATTAAACTCATAAGCTTGCACTTGCGAGGCAAGCTCTGTTCCACTGAGCTATATATCCCAGGCCCTCAAGTTGTCTTTTGTACCTTTTTGTATTTTTGTTTATTTATTTATTTTGATACAGGGATTCACTATGGAGTTCAGAAGGTAGTGATCCTGGCCTTGAGTTCATCATGTAGCCCAAGCTAGTCTTGAACTCTCAGTGATCCTCCTGCCTCAGCCTTCCAAGTGCTGGAATTACAGGCATGCACCATTATGCCTGGCTATTGTTGTTATTTTTTACAGTACTTAAGATTAAACCCAGGGCCTTTGCACTGAGCTACATCCCAGGCTTTTTATTTATATATTTTTATGAGATGTGAGTTTTGCTCAGTTGTTCAGGCTGGGCTTGAATTTGATATCCTCATGCCTTACCCTCCCAGAGTGCTGGGATGCTGGAATGTGCTATCATGCCTGGCTGGCATTATTATTATTTTTTTTAACATTTCGATTTTTTTTATTCTTCGAAAGGAGTGAGTTGTGTACAGGGGGCGTAAATGCTTTATAGACAAGAAAAAAAAAAACTGCACTAGAACCGGCTTGTCCATCATCATCCTCTTCATCCTCCTCATCCCGTTCATCTTCTTCCTCTTCTTCATCCTCATCTTCCCCATCCTCTTCCTCCTCTTCTTTTTCTTGCTTTTTTAAGCCTTGATGACTCCCTTTTTTGCTGCATCAGGTTCTCCTTTAGCCCGGTAGGCAGCGATGTCCTTTTCATACTTCTCCTTCAGCTTAGCAGCTTTCTTCTGGTGTGGCTGCTTGTCATCTGCTGCAGTATTCCACATTTCTCCAAGTTTCTTTGCGACATGACCAGTGGAGAGGCCAGGATGGTCTCCTGTGATTTTTGGGCGATACTCAGAACAGAACAATACCGAAGGAGGCCTCTTGGTGCATTGGGATCCTTGAACTTCTTTTTTGTTTCTCCATCAGGAGGAATACAAGTTTTCATTTCTCTTTCATAATGAGCTTGTTCCACTTTTGCCATGTGTTCAAATTTTCCTTTTTCTTTAGCAGACGTGGCTTCTACCTCTCTGAGTACTTGTTAGAAAGCTCTGAGAAGTTAGCAGAAGCATCTGGGTGCTTCTTCCCCTGCTCCTCTTGGCAAGTTAGCACAAAGAATGCACAGGATGACATCGAGCCTCTCGGCCTCTTAGGCCTCCTGTGCCACGTTCAATTGTTCTCCTCAGCGAGGTGCAGAGCCCCCAACGCCTGCCGTCCTGCGGCTCTCACTGGCCCTGGCGCTGTCTGTGGAGCTCAGCGTACTGCAGTGGCTCTACTTCCTTTTATTAGTGTCTTAGTTTTGTGAAGGAAAGCCTGATACTTCGATTTTAGAGAGCAGAAAGCTGCATTCAAGTTAGGCGTGAGTTCCTTGCTGAAGGCCGTGCATTCAGTCACTCAGCAAATATTTTATTTGGGACCAATTTTGTATTAGGCCTGGAATTCAAACCTAATAGTGGAGCAAGGATTGAACCTCTATTTGTTTTTTTAACCTCTTGAGCCTAAATCACTGTCACCTTTAATGCTGTATGTGGCTCAGTGATGATGAGAATGTTTTACAGGTGAGTGGACTACAACCCAAAACCCACTTATTTAATAAGAGTACCAACACTGCATTTAAACGTGAACACTGAGGTTTTAGCTTAGTAAAAAAACTCAGTTACATCTTTTATCTTAAAAGAAAATAGCACACATGTCACAGGTTTTCCACCACTGCTCTAGCCTGTGTGATAGGAAGGACACTGGAAAGTAAATACTCTTTTCCTTTTTGCCTCATATTTCCAGGTTTTAGAATTGTATATACCCAGATGGTTCCCTGCTGACCCAAATCACTGACTTCAAGAATCCCTATCGTTTTCTCTAAGTAACTTAGTTACTCCAGTATGGAGTACTCTGATAGGGCTGTCATAACAAAGTGCCACAGACTAGGTGGTTTGCATAGCAAATTTATTTCCACACAATTCTGGAGTCTAGAAGTCGAAGAATTGGCAAGTTTGGTTTTACTGTGGTCTCTTTCCTTGACTTGCAGATGGCTTCATCTTTTCACTTCTGCCTTTTTCCTAATCTTTTCTTCATATAAGAACACTAGTTGTACTGTATTAGGGCCTGCCCTAACAACACCATTTTAATTTAATTGCCTCTTTAACTCAATTACCAATACCGGCACATTCTGAAGTTCCAGGGGTTAGGGCTTCAGCCTATGAATTTGGGAGTTAAGCATCTTCAGTTCTTCACGTCTGCTACCTTAACTGACTCCTGTGCCTCACTTTACCAGAGATTTCAGTGTATACTAGGTAATCTGTTATGGTTTGTGTCTAGTTGTCCTCCCCCGCCACCCCCCCCCCCCCCCCAAAGCCTTATGCAGTAATGGGACTGGACTTCTGGAGTTTGATTAACTCATGATCCACTGGGATTATGGGTGAACCAAGGCTGGGATTATGGGTCTTAGTACTGCTGGGGTTATGGGTGTGAATACTTCCTCTAGCCTGGGGCAGATAGCCTAAACGTAATATCAGAGAGACAGAGACAGACTCTCTCTCTGTTGCCATTATTGTTCTACCGCCATAAACTGGAAGCTCTCTGCCCTGTGCCACTCTGCCTTGGAGCCAGCCAAGTATGAACTGAAACCTCCAGTAACTGTGAGCTAAATAAACCTTTCCTTCTTTCATTTTGGGTGTTGGGTGTTTGTCCCAGCAACGAGAGAAGAGTAACTGAGACATCTGTCTTTACTTGAATCCTGATTATCACAATAATCCCAGGAAGAGAATTTTTCTTCTTTCCATTCTGTCTTTTCTTCTCATTTTCTTACTTCTTTCATTTTAGTGTATTGTTGATCCTGTGTTTCCAAACTAGTCAGTCTGCCTTCAAAATTTGTCAGGCTGGCCTTGAATTCATGGGGATCCTCCTGCCTTAGCCTCCTGAGTGCTAGAATTACAGGCATGTGGCACCATGCCCAGCTTGGTATTGGCAAATTCTTTTTTTTTTTAGCCTTGTAAGACAAGGCCTACAAAAATTAATTCAAACTCAGAATTGTTCCTCTCCATGGAAATCTTTAGTAAAAGGCGAAAGATTTATACGATTTGAAGAGAAACCAGAGTATGGCAAATTCTTTAACTTCTCTCTGTTTGCCTTTCTTAAATTTGTAAAATGGGATGATAATAGCATCTATCTCAGATGTGTGTATGTTTTTGTACTAGGGATTTAACTCATGGCCTTTTGGCATTCTCAGCCCTTTTCTATTTTAGAGACAGGATGTCACTAAATTGCCCAGACTGGCCTTGAATTTATAATCCCGCTGCCTCAGCTTATAGAGTATCTGGAATTACAGGCATGCACCACTGTCTCTAGCTGTGTTGGAGTTCAGATGAGGATTCTATAAATTAGTCTGTAATTTTTTGGGAGGGTGTTGAGGGAATGGAATACAGGGACTTGAGCATGCAGGACAAACACTGTACCACTGAGCTATATCCCCGATGCACTGTGGTTAACTTGTAGAGTAAGCACTAGGTATGTATTAGCTATCACTATAATTTCTGTTAATATTTACCTGGAATTCACCAGGGAGGTAGCTCAGTAGTACACAGTGCCTGCCTGACAAGTGTAAAGTTGTTTCATTTCCAGCACTTAAAATTTTTTTTTAATGTGGCATTTTCCCCCAATAATTTTATTGAGAAATAAATAGCAATGAGACAGTTTCAAATCGAATTGGTAGGACAGTTCCAGTAATTAACACATTGCATACTGCCTTCCTAGTGGTTATTTATTGTACAAGATGCAGACATGATATCCTATTTTCAAACACTATTAGAACAAATCCCTCTATTCCTTGAATTAAGAGAATGTAGCTATATATCTATCCTAACCATTTTGAATACACAGATACAAAATGGTCATTTATCTATATCTCCTTTTTTTTTATTTAGTTCCATCATTTAAATATTATAGGTGTGTGAACTCAGCAAAATATTCCAAAATAGTCCAGTAGTCCATAATAGTATTGGGTCTTCTGCTTCACTGGCAATGCCAGAAGTTGTTGACCTGAGTCCCCTGCAGCTCAACATAACATGACTTTATTTCTTGTACTTCACTTTTATACTTTTCTGCTGGATGGTTAAGAACAAGATAAAGCAAGACCTATGTAACAAAAATTGTA